CTAAAGAAATACATGGATTCGGCCTCAACCATAACCCCACTATTTTGCACTGTACTACGATCAACTTTTTATTTTGTATAAGAGATATAATGACTAATTTCATATGCAGTCCAAATTACCACATTAAACTTTGGCATGTACGAGAACAAATTTAATTGTATCGGATGAACTATGCTCATTTAACATCCTTTTATTATACCAATCTTGGAATTTCTTGTTATGTTCGACCAAAAACAACTTGTCACTCATACGTGGATATATTTTCTTCAAAAGTCTTTTGTGAGTAGCCACGTAAGGTTGAACTTCTTCAAGATTATTCAATATTTAGAAGTTCCTGAATAACTACATCCCGAGCCACTAACTTAACATTTAAATCTTGAATACCTCTACCTTCAGTTTCAGCATGACGAGACTTTGGAATTCCTATAGACTTTGCTTCCGACAAATAGTTTTTACAAAACTCAACAGCTTCTTCTGTGATGTACCTTTCAACAATCGGAGCTTTTGGTCGGTGATGATTTTTCGTATATCCTTTAAAGATCTTCATGTATCGCTCTATTAGATACATACACCTTAAATAAACTAGACCATAAATTTTGATTTCTCTTACTAGATGAACAAGTAAGTGAACCATAATGTCAAAAAGTGATGGAGGAAAATACATTTCCAATTGACACAAGATTATGGCAACTTCATATTCTAATTCATCTAATTTTTTGAAATCAAGAACTTTATTACATATGGCATTGAAGAACAAACACAATTTGATTATAGTTACTCTTACATTTTTTAGTAGGATGCCACAGATAGCCACTAGTAGAAGTTGTTGCATCAAGACATGACAATCATGAGATTTCAAACCAATTAAATTGAGATCTTTCATTCATACAAGTTTCTTGATGTTTGATGAGTAAACTTGGAGAACTTTGATACCATGCAAACACTCGTAAAAACTTTTCTTTTCCTTTTTATATAGAGTGTAACAAAGTTCTTTTCCCTTTTTCCATTGGAGCCTATTATTTTCGTATACCCATCGCCTCCATATTGAGATGAGATTGCTTACTATCTTTAGTCTTTCCTGGAATATTTATAAGTGTTACAATCAAACTATCACACACTTTTTCTCCACATGCATCACATCAAGACAATGTCTTACATCGAGACATGGCCAATATGGAAGATCAAAGAACACAAACCTCTTTTTCCATATATTTTTCTCAACTGGACTTTTTTTTATTTCTTTCCAAAGACAACATTAATTAGTTTTTGTCGTTGATAAAATTCATCCCTGGTTAAAGGTTTGGGAGCGATATCAAACTCCTACTCTCCATTAAAAGTCTTCTGTAATCTACGATAAGAATGATCGAGTTTTAGAAATTTCTGATGCCTATGGTAAATGGTCTTTTTTTCAAACTTAAGTTGGTGATAACATGTATCAGATTCATAAATAGGCCACAATTCGTGTATTTTGACACTATATCCAGCCAAATTACCATATGTAGGAAAGTCGTTGATTGTGTAAACTAACATTGCACACACCTTAAACTTTTCACCAGAATATGCATCATCAACTTCAACATCTTCCTTTCACAAAAGTATTAAATCTTCAATTAACGGACATAGATAAACACCTATGTCGTTTCTAGGTTGTCGTAGTCCAAAAATTGTCATACTTAACAACATATATTTACGCTTCATGCATAACCAAGGAGATAGATTGTAAATGTGAGAAGAACAGGCCACGCATAATGGTTTTTATTCAGATTACCAAATGGGTTCTTTCCATCGGTGGTAAGCCCAAGCCTAAGATTTCTTGGCTCAGTGCCAAAATCCAGAAATAACGAATCAATTTTCTTCCATTGCAAAGAATCAGTTACATTGCGTGTGTTTCCATCATATTTTCTTTCATCTGCATGCCATCTAATATTCTTTGCGTTATTCGTATTAGTAAAAAGTCTCTTGAATCTTGAAATTATTTCCAAGTACCATAACACTTTAGTAGAAGGCCTCTTCCTACTAACATTGACATTGTCATTATCATCACCATTGTTGTCCTTCAGCTTGTAACGCGACACCCCACATTCTAGATATTGACCCAAATTTTCATACTCTTTCTATATAATATGCAGTCATTAGGGTATGCATGTATTTTGATAAACTTCAAACCCATTGGACACAACATCTTCTTGGCATCATGACAACGATCAGGCAAATTGTTATCTTTCGGTAGCATTTTTTTAGCAAATAAATAAATTCCGTGAAACTTTTATCCGACCACTCATTATTCGCTTTCAGATTAAACAATTTTAACACTGCAAACAATCGTGTAAAACTTGTGCGTCTATTATATAAAAGGGTGTCCTTATCACTACATAGAGTATCATAAATATGGGTTTTCTTAAAAGAAGATTCTCCAATATCACGGAACATATCGTCTAGCTGGTCATCCATATATTCATCTTCATCAACTTCGTGACGCCATGTTTCTCTTTTTTTCCACCTCATCATGCCACGCCCAAATTGTGTAATTTTGACATATACCATCACAACATAGGTGATGGAATATCTCATTATTTGTTTCTTTATTTATATTACCGCAATTAACAAAAGGACAATAAAATATACTATTATTTTCGGGAACATTTTGATCAACGTATTTAAGGAATTCAAGAATTCCTTTCTCATATACCGGATCTAATCTATCAGCTTTCATCCAACTACGATCCATAACAAATTATGAAATTTATATCAAAACAATATTATGAACAACACAACAAAATCTAAACCTAAAGCATATCAAAAAACGGAAGCATATTCATAACAATGATATAACTCTAAATCTTAAACATATGGATATCCATTGTAGCAAAGTTATAATATTTTTGTTCACTGTTAAATCCAACAACAAATTATAAAGCATATGAACTTTACATGAAACAAACCACATAATCAAACAAGAATGAAGATAGTGAAGATTATCAAGAATTAGGAAGATGAGGAAGAGAGTGAAGTTTGCACGAAACATACCGTACTTCGAAGAGGAAGAGATCAAGAATGAAGATAGCGAAGATTATCAAGAATGAAGATTCAAATGAACGAAGATTGTGAAGATGAAGATTTCGATATCCCTATTGTTATCGTCTCTGTTTCGCTGGTTCACTTAGGACATGTTATGAAGGAAATAATGAATCTTTTTTGTTTTAAATTTATCAGAAAAACCTTTGGTCATGGTTATTAATTTCAACCACATTAAAATGTAGATCTTATTACAACGGTTGTATAGTAAAACCGTGGTTAAATAGTTTTCAAATTTTTATTTATTTATGAACTTAAGTGAAACACGCTTTTTGTAATAGGAAAAATGGAAGAAAAAAATGTAGTTGTTAAGATTAGAAGCTCGTAACACTTACTTTATCACCACAGTCATTTACCTCAACCGTGATTAAATAACTTTCAAAAAAATAAAAATAAAATATCAGGCGCATCCAGTTTGTGATATTACAACGGTGGACAACATAACCGTAGTAGTATTAGTGTTACCGAAGGTGTATTTTGTAGTAGTGATTCTAAAAGAGTAGTACATGATTAATGATGCACCAAAGAAGATATGAAACTGAGATACTGAAAAGATTTGAGATGGAAGAATGCAATGCAACCTCGACACCAGTTAAAATAATATTGCCACTGACAAATGACCCAGACGAAGAGGAAGTCAATCAAACTCAGTATAGATGACTCATTGAATCATTAAGATACATTTGTCACACATGGCCTAATCTAGCATACAATGTAGGTATGGTGAGCAGATTCATGCAAAGGCCAAAGGTATCACACCTTATAGCCACAAAGAGGATACCAAGGTATCTCAAAGGAACTCTCGATTATGGCATTTTATTTCTTACGGAAGATGAAGGAAAGTAATGCAAACTTGTGGGATACACTGACTCGAGTTGGTGTAGTGATGTTAAGGATAGAAAATCCACAGTTGGTTATGTGTGTAGGCTGAGTGGTGCACCAGTTACTTGAAGTTTAAGAAAGGAACTTGTTGTAGCATTATCATGATGTGAGGCTGAATACATAGTTGTCTCTCTCTATATGCATGCCAAGCAACATGAATGGTGAATTTGATCAAAGAAATTATAGGGAAAAAACCATGGAGCAATGACCATGAAAACCGATAACATGTCTGCTATCAATATGTCGATAGCACATGGAAGAAGTAAGAACATCGAAATGAGATTCCATTATTTAAGATAACAAGTAGTGAATGGAAGGTCGAGTCTGGAACACTATGGATTAGAGAATAAGATTGCAGACATAGTGACGAAGGTTATGCACGTTGAATTATTCAAGTGATTGAGAACAATGATGAATGTAGATAGCTTAAACACAATGGATTAGGTGGTGTGTTAAATATGTAATTTTTTGTGTGGTGTGTTAAATATGTAATTCTTTGTGTTAAGATTGTAATTGGTAATGTCGAAGTCTGCATAAAGTTGTCGAAGAAGTTTGCTTCAATAGAGTCCAATAGAGTCAAATTTATTAAGTGGGAGTTGAAGTTGTAAGCAATCCATAAGTAGTCGAAGTGCATATTGTACTGAGTCAAATAGAGTTAGTCAGAGAGATTGCTTTTAAATAGGGTTTAAATAGGGAAACACCCTTACTTGTAAGAGTAGCAATTCAGTTAGAATTCAATAAAATTCTCTTTTCTCAAACCTCCATCCCCCTCTCTCTCTCTCTCTCCTCTAAATTTTTGTGTGGCAGAATCATCTTACAACTAAAATGTGGTTGAATCACTCAAATAAAGAGTGAAGAATGAAAGGCACAATCAATTAAAAATATTGATTCTTATTTATCCAAATTGATTTTGATTATCTCCAAAATTTGAGTTAATTCTTACCTGAATGAGTGTGCCATCAGCCACCAATGAAAAAGACTTTGGTGTACATGTATCATTACACCATTGTTTATTAATCTTTTAAAATATCACAAGCTACACACTATAAGGTAGACTTGACAAAACTATGAACACTCATTATTGGTTGATTCTGGTTACCAATTATCTCATCTAACTCTTTTTTAAATCTTCTCATGTCTTCCAAAGGCAAACAAACTGACAATATCAAACATTCTTCTCCTTTTGCATTCTTATGTGCAACAATATAACTTGCTCCATGAAACGAACCAGCCCCACCTTTTGCTATTCCACCATACACTCCTTCGCCCCATCCAAAATTCACTTCTTCAAAGTTAGCACGAGTCAAATCTGAAATAACACAAGACCTTACCGTTGTATATGAACATCGTTCCTTAATAACCATAAGATCTGCCACAGATTTCATGTATTCTTCTGTAACTTGAGCTTTTAAATTTCTTATCAACTTCACTGCATAAGCTAGTGAGTCCCCGCAAAGCTTCCCTGCGGTGGTGACAGCAGCCGGATAAGCAACACAATTACCGTAATATCCAACAAAAGATGAATGATTATTGTTAAACCTTGAACGTGCATTGATGAGACACATTATTCGTACATCTTTCTCTGGCTCTAACTGTAATGCTTTTGTGCGACAGTACCAGAAACTTGCAGCTATAAGCTCAAATGAGGTACATTGGAATGGAACCAAAAGATGAATTGCAGCTATGTCTGAAGGTCTAAAACAGAAAGATTGATGAACTATGGTAGTAGTAGTAGTATCTTCTTCCTTGATGGTATTATTTGGTGGAAGTATTTGTTCGTATTCACGATGGTTGCATGTAATGCGTGGTGGATCTCTTGCCATGAGGATCTCTCTATGCCACACAGGTTGAATGGAAGGTTGATGTGCTCCTCGAGCCATTTCTGCCCAAGCATTCATCAACTGTTTTAAACCAGATGCATCGCCCATTATATGGTTCCAATTTATTGCTATTATGAAACCACCGCACTTGAAACGTGTCACCTGTAAAATTTTAAATCAACTATTATATTTTTAACCAACAAAATATATATGTATGGGGTCTTCTATGGAAAACCAGTTTTATTCTTTTGATGTTATGTGGCTGGAACAATGTATGTTAAAACATACGACTTATACAACAATCAAGCTCCATAACTATTTTATATTAAAAAAATATGTGTGTTATAATCTTAATTACACTCATGCAAAATTTATTAAAACTAACTTGTATGAGTCGAATGGGACGGTCAATAATTAGTTCTGAGCCAGTAACATCATAGAGAAGTTCTTGGAGGCATGGGAATGGTGGATGGAGAGAGTCACCAAATTGATCAAGTGTTACATCAGCTTCAGCTCCAATGAACATGACACCTTCACCAGTACAATCAACCATCAACTTGCGTCCAGCACCCTCTTTAATCCTTCCCGCTAATGGATAGTAATACACAAGCGTTTCTGACAGTGCATTTCTCAGAACTTCAACCGGATCTTTTTCCGCCATCGATGGTTCGCGGAGATAGATAAATATGAATGGAATATTGAAACGTAAACCTTGTTGATCATCTATGTCAGATAGTAGTTTAACTTCTCGTGGAGTTGAAGAAGCTGGAAGCCCCAACTCTTGTTGGAACCTCCTCACTGTGAATATTAATGGTGATGAAGCCATGCTCTGCTATCAGGATGAGAAAAAACACGGGAGGTAATAATAGGTGTTGTGTTTGGTTTGTGAGTTATACATGAATTGTTTGTGAAAAGGTTTAAATTTAAGGACCATGTACACGTTATCTTTCAACGTGGTCACGTTTTTTTCTTCTTTATATAGAGACCGAAACATCAAGAATTCATCATGCGCATGCAGGATGCATGTCTTTATGTGAGCACCAATACGTTTCATTACCCATGCGCTATCACTATCTTTCTGATTCATTGCACATGTTATCAATAAGTTTCAAACTCTTAGTTACCCATATATATTCTGTTCAAACTGTTTCCCACACATATCTTGATACGTGTCCAATTTAATTGCAATTGATTGACACCGTAATTGTATTGTTAGCTACCTGTTTTTTAAAGGGAAAATAGTATAAGAGAAGCGTCCAAAAATCAGAGCAATCCAAAAACAAACTATAGCTAGAGTTCTCTAAATTAGGACCAGTGAAGATTAAACTCCAAAAAAATATAATGAAAAGACGGTAAAATAGTGATCTTACCGGATCAGAAAAGGATTAGCAGTCTTCCACGCGTCGTAAACTCTTGTATTCACCGATGTTAAAGAGGAGGAGGGGTGTACCTGCAAGGTATTCAATGAGTGACGGAGTTAGAGTAGATACAGAAAATAGATGTAGAGAATAGAATACCCGACCCTCTAGTGAAAGTGGATATTTATAATGTGCCCCCAGCGCAGGGCCAACGGTTACTTTGCATTGAGTTGGATCGAAAGGCTCAATACAAGTAACTGTCAGGACTTACGTGGCGTAGAGAAGACTAGCACGTGGTCTTCGCCCTGGATCAACTGCCCCATGATATTCGGAAGGTGGGCTGACCCGTTCTTTCGAAAGTGGATAGTTGCCTGATGACGTGTCCCCACGTGGGGGGCACGTGGAGTCCATGGAGAAGACACGTGAGATTCTCCCCGTGCTAGGAAGTGTCCTGTTCGATAATAGAGCGTGTCCGACAGGGAGGAGGATTGGGTCTTTCCGGACCTCCCTGGTGTGATATTGGGTTGGGTCTGTGATCGGGAAAATAGCAAGTGTACTATTTTTACCAATTGTAGTAATAAGGAAAAAGTCTCAAGTATCGATCTCGAGGACTGCGTAGTAATTAACGGGATTTTTAGGATTCAAAGGAACAAAAGGTCTAGTGGTTTGTTTAGTAGCAGAGTAATATAACAAGTAAATAAAGACTTATAAATAAATCTAAGAACAGTGTTAGGGGAGTGGAGACGTTGCGAGTAAAGACCATGTATGATTATTCTGCTATAATAGTTATTAACCTTAATTCATCAGTTGACCAATTTAGTTTTCTTAATTCCTTAATGAAAACCCTTTGATGAGTTTCCTGTACACTAATTCCTCAGTGTCCCTGAAAAGTATCAAGCAATAGTTCCGACCATAAAATACGTGATACGAGATATCCTCATTCCTAAGCAATATCGACCGTGATACTATTTTGCAAAAGTGTTAGGTTGACTTTCCAGATTAAAACCTAAGCATAATTCGAATTCTACTTTCCATTATGAATACGCATTAAGATTAATGCAAAATAAAATATATAAAGTTAATAACATAGTTCTCATAGAATAATCAAACAAAAGTCATTACCTCGCAACTTAGGACCACCCCCTAACAACTTGGGGTTTAGCTGCTCATGTTCTTTGAAAACATAAATGCAATTAGAAATGAAAAGGAGAAGATCATTACAATTCGCGTTGGATCCCTTGGATCATCAATTGCTTCCGCTTTTGATCGATCCTTGTTCTCCAGAAGAACTCTCTCCTCAGTTGTCAATCCTAATATCAATTCAAAAGTGTCCTCTACTTTCTAAAAAGTGACTCTTATATCTAAATTCAAATTACATCGCGAAATGTCTCAAATGCCCTTCGAAATAGGTCTGACAGCAAAAAATCAGAAAATATAACAATTTCACTCTCAGTGGCCCTGACACGGGCCGTGTTGTGCAACACGGGTGGCCGTGTCAGGCTGCTGACTCCTTCAGGGCGCGTTTCCATCTCCAAGGGCTGCAACACGGGCCGTGTTGCATGACACGGGCACCCGTGTTGTACGTCTGATTCCCTTTTTCTTCTGCTTTGGTCTACCCGTGTCTGCCAACCGTGTCCTCCATGACACAGGCCGTGTTGTGCAACACGGGTACCCGTGTTGTAGCTCTGGCTTCCCTTTTCCGACTTTTCTTTGCCTCCGAAAGCGGTGCGACTGTCATGCTATCCATTCCTGCCAAAAACACACTAAAAGAAACCGAATCAAACGCACCAGCGGCAAAAGTAATACAAACTTAAAAATAAGACTTGAAGACAAACAACTACGAGTAATTCAGATAATAACAACTAAAGCTTCGAAAACAGATAAAAACGTTGCGAAATTAACAACAAACAGCGTTTGAAAACACAAGTGAAATCCACCGATCAAACTCCCCCGAACTTGAACTTTTGCTTGTCCTCAAGCAAAAAGCTCGCCAAACCGAACTTAATATTTTTTTCATAACGGAACGTCCATAGAATTGTGAGTTACGGTGATGATACTCATACTTGAACTTCTCATTCCAAGTCCCCTAGGATTAATCTCGGCTTTTCCCTCAAAACAGGTAACATGCAAACACTAGACTGCGGTAAACCACTGACCTCAATCTCCCTATGGGTAACCTCTCCGACTATGCTTTGTACTTAAGTCTTCTTTTTCGATTTTCCTCCCTTTCATTCGGACAATCACTATACGGCTTTTATGATTTTCCTCGTGTGCACAAGATTCATCAACGACATTTTTCTTTTTCTGGCACTGTTATTCTTTTTGAATGGCTTTCAGGTTCGACCGCCGTTAGGCTGAATAACCGGGTGAGGGTTACCCAACTTAGAAGGATTAGTCGCCTAATTGCCCCTTTTTGTTTGTTTGTTTTTTTTTTCTTTTTCTGTGCCTTAGCTCAATATTTTTCATTAACCTTGCACACACGATTCTTATTGATGAAACCTGATTATCAAAATAAACTACTCAGGGGTACTTCTCAGATCAAAGCACTATGGTACAAATCTACACATCGAACTCGTTCCTATTCGGGAAACCCAGGGTGTTTGCCTTTTACCTATCTCTCAAGATTGTTTCGATTTCATCCTCACAGTTCTTTTCTGAGTATTCTATATACTTTCCCATCACCTCACTCAACATCTTCACTAAACAGTTCCCCAACCAACAATGTTATTAATTTTATTAGCTCAATGTCAGGGGGTTTTCCTGTGGACTTGCTATCATGTTCTCAAACTAACATTGAAAATTAAATAACCAAATAACTAAAACAGAATTGAAAACACACAAATAACATAAACAAATAACATAAAAACACAAATAAAATACCCCCACACTAGGATTCAACAGTGTCCTCACTGTTGGAACACTAGTAGCAGAGGACTCACAGAGTTCATGGTTGCGGAGGTTGGTCGCGCAGCATCATCTGCCGCATCCATTCGTGCATCTCACCGATCAACCTGCCTTGTCGGATTTGTTCGTTCCCTTGTCTTGTCTGCTCCTCGCCTTGCCTTGTCTGCTCACTTCGGAGATGACACATCTCATTCTCCATCCAATCCCATTCTTTTTTTGATAAGCTCCAAGAGCCTGAGCCGGATTCCTGATGGAGTGAGACTCGAGTAGGCGGTATAGGCGCTTCTTCTACCTGATCTCCTTCATCCTCAAAGAATTATGTACCTGTACCATCATAAAATTGGTCTTCTTCATCCTGCATTGTGCTCTCATATAGCCAGTTATTCACATTTTGAATACTAATAAAGTCAGGGGCAGGTAAAGCGAGGAGATGACTGTTTCGACTTACCAAGGAGTAGTAATTATCAAAGACTCGAATCATACCTTGGGCAGTCAGTGTGGCAAGATCTATTTTTGTCTTACCTGCAACAGTGGGTTCCTCTCTCAAGAGAGCACCGTGGCCAAAGTGATTTGCGATTTGAGTAATCATACCGCCTACACTTATTTCGCCGGAAGGTGCATTCGCAACCCTCTTCAGGTGGACAGCTACAAAGGCAGCTACATTAATGAGTTCTTGATTTGCCATGCCATACATGAAGTACAACTCCCTCTGAGTCGCCACTCCTGTGCTGTCACCCCTTCCGAACAGTGTATATGCCAATCCTTTTTTAGCGTACCTGAAACATGGGTTATGGATACACGAGGCCTTTGCCGCCTTCGCGACATAATCAGTTATGCCCGTAATAGCCTTCCAGAAGTCCCCTGCACTAAAATTTCCCGGAGGGGCTCCGGGTCCAAAATTGGGGAGCTTCAGAATATCTCCCAATTCGGATATGGTCAGGCTATGGTCAGTATCAAATAACCGAAACCTCAGTGTACCATAATATTCCTCCTCCACACCTGTCCACCTGTGCTTCAACTGAAATTCTAAAGTACTCAAGAATTCAACAGTTATGCGCTCATAAGTCGGCGCTTCCAATTGCATAAATTCTAGCATACCTAGAGTGTGAAACATCCTATGGACTTCTACTCTCAACCCTAGATTATCAAGCGTAGTGTTACAGATATACCTTGTGGGAGCGAGCTTACGCTTGATGATGTTGGAGTACTTCTTCTGATGATCCGGGTCTTCAAAGAGTATGCCGTGAGGATTCGCCATACGGTGTGCTCTCTTTCTGGGGCGCGAAGTTTCCGCCACTGCTTTTCCTGTGTCTCTACGAGGAGGCATTATTAAACCTGTAACACACAATCAACACAGATAGTGCGAAAAATTTCGAAATCACTGTTAGTGAAAAACGCGACCGTAGAATTAAGCACAATGATGAGTAGAACATTTTTTGTGAAGGGCGGAAGTGTTTCCGATGAGTGGTTGTGGTGGATATGGAAGCTTTTTGGAGAGTTGACTATGGAGGCTAAGGGTTTTGTGAGGGAGAAGAAGAAGAGAGATGAAATGTTATGGAATAAT